CCATCCCCATCCCATCCCATCCCACCCCCATCCCATCCCCATCCCACCCCACAGGAGGTCCCAGCCTTTGTCGCTGCCCTCAGCCTGATGTCACCCACCTCTTCCGCTGCCCCTTGGCCACTGCAGCCTCCCTGGCCACCACCAGGCCCATCACCATGGTGACATCCACCTGCAGCGACAGCCCACAGGGCACCCATGGGTCTGCCATCCAGGGTGGCCCCATCACCATCATCAGTGGGGACCCCCTGGGGCACACGTGGGGTGGGGACACCAGCAGCTGGCACAGAGCCAGGCACTGGTGGCGTTGGTGGCATCCCCGAGGACGTCCCTGTGCCGTGGTGGCACCATTCACCTGGCGGGGGGCCACCAGGGAAGGAGGTGTGCCCTCCCAGTGGCACGGTGATATGCAGTGTCACCCCACTCCTGTCCCACACCCCATGGGTTCCCTGCCCAGAGGATGCTGGTGGCACCTGGGATGTGGAGAGCAGAGTGGCATTATGGGGTCACCTGTCCCCAAACAACCTGTCCCCTACCCAGCTGTGGGATTTGGGGACCCTGTGGTGCAGCAGGATGGAGCCCCTGGATCAATGTCCCTTTCTTGAGGGGCCACCGAGCCATGGCAGGGGGGATGAGAATGGGGGTTCACCCCACAGGGCCACACTGTGGGCAGGGGGACAGGGGGGACGAGCGGGGAGGGAGGGGGGTGGGACACAGCCACACAGGCAGGGGACAAGCAGAAGCAACGGGGTCGGCCCTGGGCCCCCCCGGTCTGGGGGATGGTGGCATGACCCTCTGTGGAGGAAGACGTGGTTGGGGGCCACCTCAACCATGGGGACATGTCCCTGGGGAGACATCCATGGGAACTTGTCCATGGGGACGCACCCTCAGAAGACTTCTATGCATGGGAACACGTCCATGGGGAAACGTCCATGAGGAGACATCCATTGGGACATGTCCATGGGTACACGTCCATGAGGATAATTCTGCTATTGTCACAGGATCTGGGGACGATGGCACCAACAAATGTCACTGTCACCAGGGAGGGCGAGTGGTCCGGTGGTGGGATCTCCTGGGGGTCCCTGTTAGGGGCACGTATGGACCTGATGGGTGCTTGTGTGGATCTGGTGGGGCACAATTAGATCTGGTGGGTGGATGTATAGATCCGATGGGTGAACACATAGATCTGGTGGGTGGACACACGGACCTATGGCAGATGTGTAGATCTGGTGGGTGAACAAATAGATCTGATGGGTCAACACATAGATCCATGGCAGATGTGTAGATCTGGTGGGTCAACGCATAGGTCTGATGGGTGAACACAGAGATCTATGGCAGACGTGCAGATCTGAAGGGTGGATGTATAGATCCGATGGGTGAACACGTAGATCTGGCAGGTGGACACACCGATCTATGGCAGATGTGTAGATCTGATGGGTGAAGACATAGGTCTGGTAGGTGAACATATACATCTGACGGGTGGACGTGGAAATCTGATGGGCGGATGCATATATATATGATGGGCAGATGTGTAGATCTGATGGGTGGATGCATGAATACGATGGTTGGACACACAGATCTGATGGGCAGACATAAAACTGATGGGTAGAGATGTAGATCTGGTGGGTGGATGTACAGATTTGATGGGTGGACACATAGATCTATGGCCAGATGTGTAGATCTGATGGCTGGACACAGATCTCACACCTGGATGTATAAATCCTATGGGTGAACGCATAGATCTGGTGGGTGGATGCGTAGATCTGATGGTTGGACACATAGATCTGATGGGCAGATGTAAAACTGATAGGTGGACACGTAGATCTGATGGTTGGACATGTAGATCTGTTGGGAGACACGCAGATCTGATGGTTGGACATATAGATCTGATGGCTGGACATGTAGATCTGTTGGGAGACATGCAGATCTGATGATTAAACATATAGATCTGATGGTTGGACATGTAGATCTGTTGGGAGACACGCAGATCTGATGGTTGGACATATAGATCTGATGGGTGGCCACATAGATCTGATGTGTGGCCATACAGTTCTGACACACAGGCGTGTGCATCTGATGGGAGAACGGTGCATCCATGGGCAACGTGGGCACCTTCTTCATCACTGGGGCAGAAGCACTTCTGTGAGGACCAGGGAGCGTTCAACCCCACCAAGACCTCATGGGTTGCCTGCAGGGGCTCTCTGGAGACCCATGGGCATCAACCGTGGCGTTTTCGGGGCCCCGGGGGCTTCTTCCAGCAGCACCCAAAGCAGACACCTCCCCGGGCGGTGGGACCTGCAGCCAGGGCCGGGTGGTGGCTCCTTGGTGACACGGGCTGGATGCCGTCGCTGCGGTGACACCTGGGTGACCCTAAAAGCAAGGAGGGGATTTTGGGGTTTCAGTTCCTCTGCCCGGAGCTCTCGTCTTCCTCCAGGAAGGGCTGTGCCGGTGCCGGCAGCTGATCCCCGGGGCTTTCCAGCCTCGATGAACCCTGGTATGGTAGAGAAATAAAAACAAATATAATAATAAATTTAATAATTAATACAGTGATAACCACGGGGCTTTGGGAGAGTTCTGCCAGACACCCGGAAATAAAGACAAAGATTAAGAAATCCACTAAAACGTCTCATTTTTTACGCAGCTCGCACATTTTAGCAGCGGAGAGGGGAACTGCCGGGGTGTCGGGCTCCACTTCCCCGTGCCAGCGAGGTCGCCGGGGACAGAGCGTCAGCACTGCCCATTTTGGGGTGATTTCTGCAAATTTGGGGTCAGAGGGAAACTCCGACTCTCCCCAGCTGGACGCGTTTCAGGGATGAGGGCTCTGCCATGTCCCTGCCGTCCCCACAATGGTCCCAGCTGTCCCCTCACATCCCTCCATGAATGACGAGGGCTGTCACTCAAGGCAGAAATCAATTATTAATTATAATGATATTAATTATGAAGCGGAACCATCCCATCCGGGGTCGGGTGTCTCTGGGCTAGCGCGATCCGGGCAATTTTGGGGGGAAGGCGAGGCTGCGGGGTCAGCCAGGAGGGACTGGGGACGGACCTGGCTCCGTCACGTGATTGAAGAACCGGGGGCGCTGTCCCTTTAAGGCGGAGGGGGCGCTGTCCCTTTAAGGCGGAGGGGGGGCGGTGAACAGGTGCGGCGGTGACACACCGCGCTCGGGGGCGGGGCGGAAAGGGCGGAGGGCTGAGCGACGGAGCGACTCACCAATGAGAAAGCAGAACGAGCCAGACGGGCCAATGAGCGGGTAGCGAAGGG